AAACAGGAGAATTCTGCCTCCATAGTAGACAAACTTATATGCTGTTGTCTTATTGACTTCCAGCCTATTAATGTCTTACCCAGCATTATGGCTGTTCCTGAAGTCGACTTTCTAGTGTCTCTTTCTGATGCAAAGCTAGCATCTGCATAAGCACTCAAAATTAAATCACCCTTTGGTTCTAAATACAATGAATAATTCATTGTCTTTTTAAGATATCTTAATATCCTCTTAGCTGCAATCCAGTGTCTTTCACATGGTGCAGAATTGAATCTAGCCAACTGATTCACGCAGTACGATATATCTGGTCTAGACCAATTACTAATATAACTAAAACTACTAATTAAAGATTGATAAATCACCTTATCAAACTCAGGGCTTTGTACATCAGTGTTGCTAAACTCCTGACTCATTGGAGTCTTAGCTGGCTTACAAAGCTCCATCTTGTAATCTTTTAGCAATTTGCTTATTTTATCTTCCTGAGATATCTTAAAACCTTTCCTTGTTTTCTTTATATTCAAACCGAGATACTTCTTTATCTCCCCTAATTGCTTGATCTTTATTCTCTTTCCTAATGATGTTATTATTTTATTTGCTTCATCATTAGTTTCAGTTATCAATGCAATGTCATCTGTGAATAGTAATAATAATGATACTTTCCCATTTGTCTCCCTCTTAAACAGACATGGATCGGCTAAACCAGCTTTAAATCCTATATTGTCTAGTTCCTTTACAATATACTGGTTCCATTCATAGCCTGATTGTTTAAGACCATAGAGGCTTTTCTTTAACAACCAACAATCATTATTATCCTTATTTTCACTTTTAATACCAACAGGTTTTTTCATATAAATAATATGTTTTAATGGGGCGTGCAAGTAAGCAGTTTCCACATCTAGATGGTTAACTATATAGTTTTTACTAGCTGCCCACACTAAAGCTGCTCTCAAGGTTGCTGCCTTAAGACTAGGTGCAAACACCTCATCGTAGTCATTGACATTCTGCCTAAAACCTTGGGCTACTAACCTTGCCTTATGGATTAAATTACCATCCTTATCTGTTTTTACCTTAAATATCCATTTGCAGCCAATGGATTTCTTTCCTACAGGTAATTTGGCATTTTCATACACCTTCATATCACTTAATGAATTCAGTTCCTTATTCATTGCTGCATACCATTTTTCTTTTTCCTTATTAGGATACTTTTTAATTTCTTCAACAGAATTAGGAACTTGATTAATCTGGCACACTGTGTTAGCCTGGTACCTATCAGGCGGTCTAGATATACGTGTAGTTCTTCTGGGAATTACAGGGCTTACAGGAGGACTTTGTTGAACTACTACCTGTTCATCTTCCTCATCCTGTTCAGCTATTGAATCTGTTTCTTCCTTTATGGGCACTATTTCATCCTGTATTTGTCTCTTTACTTTATTTTTAAAGTTACAGGGATAACTAATGGGATTTCTATTGGATTCAATAATTACATCTTTATTGGCATCCTGTTCTACTTTCTCCCATCCTTCATGTTCTAGAAATTGGGCACTAGCACTACATAACACTTTAGATGTGCCGTTCTCCCAAAATCTATATGCCCTATGGTTTGCCTGATAACCAACGAAGAAAAATCTTTTAGCTCTATGTTTTAGATCAATGTTATACCTAACAATGTAACTCACCAGAAACTCCACTAAGACTCCAAGATCCCTCTCACAGTCACTGCTATTCAGCCTGGTTTCACCCAGTCTTTCATTTAAATATTCAATGCACGAAATAATAAACAACTTTTTGGTATATTATCTTTTTTTTAGGAAATTAGGGCAAAGAAGCGACGCCGAGTTGGCCACGGCCACCCAGTCACATGACCACCCAATCACCTGACCACCTAGCCATGCCCACCTGATCACATGAACACCCAGCCACGCCTGCCCAGCGACATGACCGCTCAGTCACATGACCACCCAGCCACGCCCGCCCAGCCAGTCATTAGGGCAGAGAGCCCCTTGCTAAAAAATTTGAAGCCCACCCCTGAGTAGGGGTCCTCCCATTTTCCCGCCACTCTGCTCTCCGTCCTATTGTCGTTTTGTTTGAGTTGGCTGAGCTGAGCATTCAGCTGCGTGAGACGTCTTGAAATCGGGAGAACGAACGCAAAAGGATAACCAAGCCGACCGTCTCTCTTTCAGATACGGGGCATTGGGCGATCACGGCTGCGCCTACGTCCAGAATGAAAGCCTTCGTTCCCAGCCTTGCGGTGATGTAGCCAAAAGCATCTGTGAGACGACTGTCCAGTTTGGATGGAGCATATAGTCCAGTTTATGGGCCAGGCCACCTCTGCAGCACAGACGCTGTTTCCTGACCTGTTGTTGCTGCCGCAGTAGAGTGAAGCTATCGGCCTTCCCTCCCTGTCTGAGGGGCGGGGGCGGGGTTGGACTAGAAGACCTTCGAGGTCTCCTCCAACTCTGTTGTTCTCTTGTTATTCTGTTACAGTAAATAAATCTGAATTTCTCCAGACTCAGCTGAGTGCACTTGTTCTCTTCAGACCCCGCTCCGTCTTAACTAATTCCAGGGACAATGGAGAGGCGGTACGGAGTGTTGTGGTCCTATCCTGCCTTGCTGTGACTCAAAATGGCTCTGACCTGCGGGGGCCACAGAGATATTGCAGAGCACAAGGGGGAGGGGGATTTTTTGCAGCCTCCTGCTGTTGCTGCTTCCTGCAAGCCAGCTTCCCGGACCCCAACTTCCCCTGATAAGACCTTCTTCAGCAGGCTGGCCAAGGTTCCCCAGGGCTAACAGGAAACAAACAAAGGATCCTTGGTCTTGGTTGTTCTCTGCAAGATGGGCAGTTCTAACAATATGAAGGGAAGGGGGAAGGGGAGAGGAGAGAGGAGGGGAGAGGAAGAGAAGGGAAGAGAAGAGAAGACAAGACAAGACAAGACAAGAGGAGAGAAAATATGGAATGGAATGGAATGGAATGGAATGGAAGGGAAGGGAAGAGAAGAGAAGAGAAGAGAAGAGAAAATATGGAATGGAATGGAAGAGAAGAGAAGAGAAGAGAAGAGAAGAGAAGAGAAAATATG